GACCTAAAAAGCATGCACTTTCCTAGGAAAAGGACCTTATCTTCACTTTTGCAAGAAGCTTTTATGGTACGAGATTCAAAGATGAGCCCTGTGCATTTAATGTCTATTTTATTTTCAATTACGCTTTGCAGCAAATCTGAATACCTCACATTATCTGCAGATTGGCGGATATCACTGAACACTTGAAAGTGAGGATGTTTTTTTCTTTTCTTCTTTTTCTTTCCTTTTCTTTCTTCCCCTTCTTCTGTTTTTTTTTTTTTTTTTTTTTTTTTTTTTTTTTTTTTTTTTAAGTCTATTTGAATTGAGAGGATCCTTCGTCTATTAATGAGATGATGAGATGTCAACCCTGCTCCATTCTGGTTTCTTTCCACCCATGCATGCACTAAGAATGTCCCACAGGCTCTGGGTGGCAATGACCTCGGAAAAGTGATGTGGGCAGGGCTCTGAACATCTGGGTCCTCACCACCTCAGCAGGGTGAGGGAAGGGGAGGTGGAGGACTGCCCTAGCTCCTTGGTATTTGATTTACCAGTTGCCTGTGTGCCGGGCTTTGGCAGATCCTGCTGGAGTCTGAAAGACAGCCTGTCATACCCGGAGCCTGCAGCCTGCTGAAGTTGAGAAACTTGGCAGATATGCAAACAGTAACTGGGTTTGAGTTGTTTTGATTACGAGTTAAACAGAGAGTCATCGGCGGGGCCAATGCATATCTGCTAGGTTCTCCCTCATTTTTCCCATATTCTTTCTTCCCTTTGGCAACACAAGAAGAAGGGGCTGGGGACTTAGGAGGATTCAGAGGGTTCTGTGCTACCAAAAAGGGTCAGTCACCCCTTCAGGATTGCCTCCTGTTGTGCTGAGAACAGGGTAGGCAGGAGTTCAGGCCTGGCTGCACAGCCTTCGACACATTCACAGTTTCCCCTCTACGTGATCTCCAAGACGGCCCAGCATTTCTTTCTAAATCTCCCATCATTTAGGAAGGACAGGGAGGGTTTTTAAGAGTTCAGAAACATCCCAGTGAGCCTTCCACAGTGAGCCACGCTCTTACCATTCCCCAGGAGAAACAGAAAGACGGGGGATATTGTTGGGTACGGTCTACTTTCTTTCCATCTTGGCCTTGACTTGACCATCCATCTGCCCAGCCATTTGGGTATTTGGGTCAGTGAATATTTATGGGGACAGGATGTCTTACTTGGTAAATGGGGAAAACCAAAAGAATTGTAAGATATTTGGCATCATGCAAGTGGTACCACGCAGAGACCCCCTTACATTGCTGTCGTTCAGGGGTCTGGGTGGTGATGTCATCCTTCCCTCTCTGTTCCTCCTCCCTCATCTCCTCTTTCCCACTCCTCTTCCTCCTCTCCCTCCTCTCCCTCCTCCCCTTCCTTCTCCCGAGAGCCCTGTCCTGCAACTTCAGCAACTTTAAGCCCTGCATCCTTTAGTTTGAAGAGAGGGTAAGACTTAGGTCCCTGGCTGCTTTCACTGTCTCTTCTGGCTGGAGGCAGATTTTGCCTCCATTGTTTCACGTGGCAACACACACATTTGATTTACAGAAATGAGATTCCCTTTCCTCCCCCACAAGTGGAAGGGTGAAACTCTGAATGCCATGGCAGAGTTCTTGGAAAGAATCCAAATGTATCAAATCAGACTTTTTTTTTTTTAATTCAGCAATTTGACCATAAAAACTTTATTGGGAAAAAAACCCACAAAACAAAACAAAACATAACAAAGCAAAGCAAAGAAAAAAACTCACCAGCCTCAATATTGTCTCTAAAGAAAGCCGGTTCTGAATGGCCCTCATTTGGACAAAGTTAATTACTGCACAGTGATTACATTTTAAATTTAGTTTCTAGATGCCGTGAATTTTAAAGCTCACAACTGGGGTAAAAAAATAAGTCCTTCCATGTTTGGCTCCTTAATTGCTTTTGTCAGCAAGAGACATCTCGTGTCCCATGGTCCCCTCGCCCTCGATGAAAGACCTTCCTGAGCTGGAAGTGGGACTCGGGCCTGGCATACAGGGGTAGCCTCTCCCTAGAACTGCTCAGCATAGCACATGCTAGGAGGTCAGGTAACCAGCTGAGGAGTCCACGTCACAGGGACAGGGAAGGACAGCCAGCATAGGCCCAGTGTCCTTTGCTATTCTTTGTCTTACAGTTTCATTTTTTATAAATCTGTGGGTGCGCCTTGATGTGTGTGCATGTGTGTGAGTATGAGTGTGGGTGCGTATATGGCGTTGTGCATTTGGAGGTGGCGGGGTGGGGTGAGGGGGAGGCAACCTTGAGTGCTGGTCATCAGCACTCACATACTTCCTTGCGGCTGGCCCATAAGATTCAGGGTGTTCTCCTGTGTCCCCCTCCCATCTTGCTGTCAGAGATCTAGGATCAGATGTGCATTAAGGAACCTGACTTTACGGAGGTTAGCAGATTCGAACTCAAGTCTTCCTGCTTGGGCTCCAAGCACTTTGCCCACTGAGCCATCTCTCCAGCCTGTATAATTTTCCATCTGCGAGTAGTGTCACACGGTGACTGTCTCCTTTGGGTCTGGCTCATCTCATTTTAATACTTGTTCATATCGTTGCCTATGTTAGAACTTGATTTGTTTTCATGGCTGAGTCTTATTCTCCCGTGTGACAGACGGATCGTGTTGGGTCATCCGCTCTTCTGCGGTTGACCTGAGTTGTTCCTACCTGTGGGTGCTATGAATTGCACCACTGTGAGCCTTAATGGAGAGGTACCCACTTGAAATCCATTTTGAATGGATTTGGGGGACACGTGGTCATCATCTATTCAACTTTCTGAGGAGCCCAAGGATCAATTTATAGAAGAGAAAATTCAAAGAAAAACTTCATGTCTGGTCTTCCGCAGCTAGCTGCTTGCAGCACTGGGATATGAAGATGGCTTTGTCTGGCCTGCCAGCTCCGGACCTGCCTCCTGCAAACTTCCTCTTCAGAAGAGAGTTGGGATAAGTAGCCCTCAACAGGACACCAGCTGTCAGTGCTGTCACCGAGAGCTCCCATCTGAGAATAGCAGTGACAGCCACATGAACGGACTAGAAAGAGGTGAACTCCCCTCCTTAACAAGCAAGGGACCTCTCTAAGCCTCATTTCCTTGGCAAAACTTGCTTTTAAAACAACAACAACCACCAACCACCAACCCGGCACTGGGCTGATGTTGAGATTCCACAAGCTGGAGCAGTGTGTGTTGCAGTTTAAGTGGTCCGGAAGGGCTACACTGTTGCCATTTGTTTTGGGTAAGAGAAGTGGGTTCCTAGTGAGGCGGGATGATGTGTGGGATTTCCAGGTCCTGCCCCTCTTTGGTGGGGTCCGAGACATGAATCTAAAGTGTCCTGAGTGGAGCTACTGAGATATGCGTTCTCATCCCCAGGAGCATAGAACTGGACATCACACACAAAAACATTCTAGATGCTCCAAAACTCATTTCTATTCTGATTTAACCTGGGGGGAAACACCCGGGTGAATGAATTTCGTGGCCTTTTTTTTTTTTTTTTAAATAGAGCCGCATTTCAGAAGTTCCCTTCTGTATGGCATTTGTCAGATACCATTGGCACCTTTGTCTTAATCTCCAACCCATTTAAGGTAGGAATTTAATCTCATTTTAAAAAACATGCTTCTGTAATCTCTTGTCAACTCATTCTGATTCTTTTTTTAAAAAAATTTCAAAATTTCCTACAATTGTCATGTTCATTACCTTATACCTGTATCAGCCAAGATAAATCATAAAAAATTTATTTTGTATTTTTTATTATTTTATGTGTATGAATGTTTTGCCTGCATGTATATCTGTGTACTATGTGAGTACTATGTGAGTGTCTGGTGTCCTTTGTAGGCCAGAACAGGGCATCAGATCCCCTGGAACTGGAGTTACAGATGGTTGTGAGGGGCCATGTGGGTGCTGGAAATTGAACCCTGGTCCTCTGCAGAAGCAGTCTATGCTCTTAAGCACTGAGCCAATTCTCTAGGTCTCACCTAGAGAATATTTTTTTTTTAACTCCTCACCCAAAATTGGTATAGATTATATATTGGGGCAAGCAAATCCATTCTTTGAAGAAAATAACATTAAACACAGATGGCCAGTAGGTGAGGGTATTGGTCACCAAGCCCGATGGCCTGAATCCAGTCCTAGAGGCCTACACAGTGGAAGGACAGAACTAACTTCTGCCGGCCGTCCTCTGACTGCCACATACTCTCATGTGTGTCCCATCCCCACAAAATAAATAAATGTTTAAAAAAAACCCACACGACCCATAACACAAACCAAGTGGCCTGACGTCAGGATGCAGGTGGGAATATCGTTTCACCCATGAGTGGTGACTCTCCTGGGTTGTTCAGATTAAATGCCCCTGTCCTTTGAGAGAACCATCACTATTATCCAAAGGATTCTTTTCTGGTTTGTATACCTGAGTTCCCTCCTGTCCCTGAGCAATAGTGTTACTTTCTCAGACTGTTTCCTCTGTACTTCTGTAGTCAAACCAAATCCCCAACACTCCCCACTTTTGTCCTGTTTTGTTTGTAACACCCCCCCACCCCACTCCCACCCCCATCCCTAGACCCACACCACCAGGGAAAGTCAAGTCGGTCTTGCTCCTCTTCCCTGCTTGCCCTTCCCAAGACTTAAACACACAAGTGAGTGAGGCTGCTCCAGGATTCATCAGGCAGGAGTCATTCTTACTCAGGGGTCACTGACAGGCTGAGCCACCTGTGAGGGTGCCAGGCATCCATGGCTTATACAGGGTGGCGGCTCTTGGCAATCCAGAGCAAACACAGTTTCGGCTTCGGAGAGAATAAGAGATGGTTTATTCTGGAATCAAATCTGAGTGACCATGGCCCGGGCAACACAGATTTAGAGTACCCCCAAATTCCACGTTCCAACGTAGTAACAGTTCAGTGAGATTTTATGGTAACAGAACAAAGACATCACAAATCTGAATGCTTCTGGAATACATGGGTGGGACCACGGGGGTGGGGTGGGGGTGGGGCAGTGGGAGGGGCCACAGCACAGCGGGAAGCTCTGCTCTGGGCCTCAGAGTGCTGCCAGACAGCATTCTTAAATTTGGGGTTGGTAGAAGATGGGGTCTGCGCGTTCATTCCAGAAGAATTTCCGAGAGAGTCAAAAGGATGTCAGGTCGCACACAGAGGTGGGTGGTGATTAGACGGTAAAGCACAAGGCCGTTTGGCTTTGGATAGGAGACATTCCAACCTCTTCACAATCACTGACGTTTAAATCCGTTAACCGGCCATCTTAGAATGTTTTGAGTAGGTGTGGCTGCTGCTGCTTACCCCACCTTCCTCCCCCTCCTCCTCTTCCTCCTTCTTCTCTTCTGGAAACTGTGGTTCCCACTCTGACTTACTGCTTACAGTAGAGACTTTTTATTGCTGATGGAAGCAGGAACCCTCTTTGGGCATGTCCCGAAGGCGAATCACTGCCAATGCACATTGCGACAATAGAGCACGTTCATATGGGGTGTGATTCCACAGAAACACGTGACTGGACAGTCCTTTATTAGAAACCTTACTCCTCAACAGCTTGTCTACTTAACAGGTATCCTTTTTGCTTTAAATATGCCCCAAAGACCAGTCTATGCTGTCGACAATTACCTTGAAAAATTGCTTTTGGCAAAATGATGACTCTTTAAGGTTTTCTAAATTCAAAGATATTGACATTTGAAAGTTTCAGGTGTTCATGTTTTGAAACTCGATACAGGCTTTGTGAAAAGTATTTGGCAAAGATGATCAATATCCCCTCTTCTAAAACAGTTAAATTGTTCAATGTTGACTTGAAAAAGTAACTTCTTGACCATGAAATTAAATAAGAACACCCCTTAATCAACCTTAACCAATGACCGGGCTCCAGAGCCAGAAAGCCTCAGAGGCAGGACAGCTGTGTGCCTTAGGAGGACACACGCCCAGTGAGTGGTAACACTGGAAATTTATTTAAAAAATGATTTTATGTAAGGAAATAACGAAAGCTAGCTATTTATAGAATGGATAAGAGAGCAGGAATCTAAATATGGATTGCAACAGCTGTCCCTTGGAAAGATCTTATTATGCCATTTATTTAAATGATTTCCTTAAATTTTTCTTTTAGACAGTGCACTTAATTCCGCAAAGTGGCATTATGTATTTGTTTATATTTTAGCTTCATCACCCTCCCAGAGGCTCTGTTGGTGTAAGTCCCGGTCTCAGCTTATCAATAAAGTAGTTAATAACGGCACTTATTTTTCCACTTGCCTTATGCTATTAACTCTTTGTAATAAATACAAAGACCATCCATTTAAGAGGGATTTATTATTCTGAGGCTAAAAATACTTGGTTAAATTGCATAAACTTAGCAATTATATATTTCTCCTCAGGTGAAAAAGAGAGAGAGGGAGAGAGGGAATCTATTGGAAAAGCCAGCCTAAATTGATGTCACCTTTGCTTTAAAAGCATTAAAATTGGCTCTAATTCTTCTCCAACTCATTGCACATTCGTGTGTGCTTGTGGAAGAACAGTAAGAGGCAACGGAACACCTCATTATAAAATGGGCTTTCATCATCATTAGAGAGAAAAGCTGTACTGTATTGGGAATATCAGCTGATTGAGAGCAGAGGGGGATGTCTTTTTCATCAATTAAAAGTCAAATCAAGTAAATTTAATTTATTTCAAGCCACGCTGTCCGTAGGGATGACTCCTCTGGTGGGTCTTGTGTGAGTTAAAAGCAACTGTTGACAACACCCCATGTCTCTTTGACCTCTAGTGTGAACAGCCCCCAAGCAGATCCGATTTCACCGCTGCGGTGTGGTACGGAATTTCAAATTGGATGTGGGTTGTTCAGTGGACTTGACTGGGGCTGGGAAGACAGCTGGAAGAGTGAGACCTGAGTTCAGCAGCGACATAAAGAGTCCACTACGGTAGTTCACACCTGACACAGAGTGCGAGGGGTGGGGGTGGGGTGTACGGAAGAGGGGCATGGGAGACAGGCAGCTTCCGGAAGCTCTCGTGGGCCAGCCCACTTAGCCCAATCAACAAGCTTCAGGTTTTGTGGGAGATCAAACCCCCTTCTCAAAAGTTAAAAGTGGCGAGTGACGAAGGAAAGACACCGGACATTGACTTCCGACCTCCACAGGCAGACACACAGTCCTGCACCAGAATGCACACTGGAGAACACACCAAACACCCGAGACTTCACTCTATATCTACCCAGGAGGCAGCCAGTTGCTACAGATAGCCTTGGGTTTTGGAATCACAGGGTGGGATGCCTCTCTTGCCTGTAAAATGGGCCTGAGAACAAACTGAGTCCAACGTGAATTGTGTGACTTTAGATAAAACCGTACAAAGTAAAAATGATTTCCCTAGGTTTTCATTTGGAATCATGTGTTACAATATGTGTGTGTGTGTGTGTGTGTGTGTGTGTGTATTCTATATTCTATATATATATATATATATATATATATATATATATATATATATATATATGAAGTCATCTCAGAGTTTGGATTTGTCCTGCAAGACATTAATATGAATGCCATAGCTTCCTGTGACTTCTCCTGATACTCCTACTTTTTTTTTGTTAGGACTCACACAAGACATGGGATCAGAATTAAACAAATTCCAGGTCACAGGAACCTTCAGGATTCCTACGGGGAGGCTGGAGCCTCTGTATTGGCCAGCAGGACTGTGGCGATGTCTGCTGGCTGCCTAGCATGGTGCAGTTCCCAGGATTTCCTGGCGTTCAAGTGCCACCCTTAGGGCTCAAGCAGAGACTGTTCTTCTTTGTAATTTTTTTTAACATTTGTGTATTTATTTGTTGTGTGTGTGAGTGTGCCTGTGTGTATAAGTATGCTTGTATATGAGGGTGCCCATGAGTGTGTATATATGAGTGAGTGTGCCTGTTTGTCTCTGTGAGTGTGCCTGTATGCGTTTGTGTGTGTGCCTGTGTGTAATTATGTGATGTATGAGTGAGCATGTATGTTTGTGAGTATGTGTGAGTATGATGTGTGTCTCTGTGTGAGTGAGTGAGCATGTGAGTGCATTTGCTTGTGTGTACCTGTGTGGGTGCGACTGTACCTAGACTCACAAGTGGAGGTCAGAGGACCATATTGAGGACCTGTTCTTTTCTTCCTCTGAGAGTCTTGGGGATTGAACTCACGTCACCATCCTTGGGCCCAGGTTCCCTTACCCACTGAGCCACCTCTAGAGGTCCCAGGACCACCCTTAGGGCACCCTTGTACGCCAGGAAGTCCTGTCCCCTGCAGAGGACACAGGCTTTCTCCTCAGCCTGCAAGGTCTAGTGTCTGTAGGGCTTTCTTCTACTGGGTATAAGGGAACCCAGACCCTTTAAGTGACCAGGCCCCAAACAAAGAGGGCTGTAAGCAGGGCAGGAGTGTACACACACACACACACACACACACACACACACACACACACACACCTGCCTCTGCAGCTTGGAGGTCAGAGGTAGACTGAGTACTGTCAAGTCTTACAGACCATACATTAACTTAACCCTACTCCCCTGCTCAGAGAAATAGTGACTGATCTCTGTCACATAGCCTAAGCCACATAAGATATGCTCTACCCCTCTGCTCTGTCATGTAGACAGACAGGGCACATCTTAACTAAGCCTGCTTCCTCACAATGCATCTCCTTCCCTCCGACACTTTCAGGAAGAGACACCCTGCTGTGACTGGTTAGACTGGAGCTCCTCACTGAGTGACTGGTTAGACCCAGAGCTCCTCACTGATAAATCTCTTGTCTGAAGGAAGGCTTGACTCAGCCCTCCCTCTCCCTTGAACTTCCTGTTCTCTCCCTCCCACAAACCTAACCCTGGGACTGAACTCAGGCAGGATTTTGCACTTACTAGGCAAGTGCTCTACCACCGAGCTATAATCCCAGCTCTCTTTTTAGTTTTTGTTTTGAGACAGGGCCTTCTGAGTCTAGGCTGGCTTTGAACTCACTGTAGCCCAGGCAGGCCTTGAACTTTGCACACTCCCATTTTAATCCTCCCAGTACCTGAGACTACAGCCCTGCACCATGAGACCTGATTTCACTACATTTTCTTGGACAGAGCAGAAACACCACTGCAAGGCAGAGTCCTGGGTAGAGGGGTACCACGAGAACCCTCTGCTCTGTATGCCAGCCTTGGCGAACAATCACACCCCACGCCGTTAATGTTGCTGGCACCCAGATTGAATGACAAATGACTGACTTTTAAAATTTTTTTAAAAGGTGAGGTTCCCCCCCCCCTAAAATTCAACTTTATTTTTAGATGCTTGGATGGTTTGTCATACCGTGTTCAGAAATTAACTCAAACACAACCATTTCTGCCCACTGGAGATCACAAATTCAGATGCGTTAAAGAAAATAATCAGAACTATGAGTTTAATCTAAATCTGTTGGAATCTGTAGGAAAATCTTAAAGAGCTAAGATGCGTTTTCCAGAATTGAATTTCACAGTATCTCTTGCATGTACTGGCACCGCAGGCAATCTGAGCCTCTCTGGTGAGGGATGGGGCAGGCCCGGATGTGTTGATTTTTGTCTAGATTTCTGAGCAGAAATGTACTCCGCTGAACATTTCAGGGTTAATTATGACAGAAGCCGAGAAAGCCCGCGGTGGGGAAGGTGAGGGGTTTTCACAACACAAGCCAGATGAAACCGTAGTATTGACACACCTATTTTTGTGCACGGGATGTATGTTTTGTGGGAGGGAGACAAGCAGGGAGGGAGGAGGGGGGAGACAGAGGAGAGAGAAGCAGCACTTCAGACCCGATGAATAAAATTGTTTTCAAATTCGTGCACCTCGAAGATGCTTTATTATAAAAAATGGTTCCAGGCTGTGTCTGATGCCGGTGTGTTCCTCCTGGTTATTATAACCCTTGTCTTCACCTATGATAAGTTAGATTACCTTGGGATGCTAATGCTTGGTGTAGCCCAGAAAAAAAATACTAGGAAAGTACTTATAAAGTAAATAAGCTTTAATTAAATATCATTGTCAAGCATTAATCATTATAGCTCTGCTCCCTATGGAAATAAGGGTGGAGATACAATTTGTTTTGATTACGTGTGGATTTTCAACGAAAGCCTTGTTTGTGTGTTGCCTTGCTCAGCCCAGGCCGGGGCCTCGAGTCTCTCTCCTGGAGGTGTTGAGGAACATTCTGCTTGTGTCCGCAATGAGAATCAGGAGGGTTTGATGTGTAAAGTGCAGTGGTAAGTGTTTTGGGGGAAGCAGGAATCTACTCGGGGCACCTTCATCACACAGCAGTGAGGGATGCTGACCCTGAAGCCTCATCCGCACACTGCCTCATGCAGTCATCTTAAGTTCATTCTAAACCCCTGTTGTTGTTTTTTTTTTTTAATGCACGCCACCCAGAGGACCAGTGAAGTTTCCAGTCTGCTGGGCATGGCTGTCCTTGAGCTGCTGAGCTTCCCTCGGCCCAGGCCTTGCCAGCCTCCCTCCCTGAGAGTGCTCTTTCTTGTAAACTGTCTCTGTGACTGCTGCTCTCTACCATGTGTCCCTGTTTGGTTTTCTTGTTCTATGATACGAGAAGCTGGACATCCCAGTGGGGACCCAACCAGCTCCAGTATTTGCCTAAACCAGGGGATTGACTGGCTTGGGTTCCCTTGTCTGGTTAGTGGGGTTCTGGCTTGAAGCTAACCCTCTTTCCACTCATCATTTGCTTTCCTTTGCAAAGAACTCTCATTTTTATAACAATCGCTGCTGGCAGATGGCTCAGAGTTTAAGAGCACTGGCTGCTCTTAGAGGACCCGGGTTCAATTTCCAGCACCCAAATGGTGGCCCATGAGTGTACACACACACACACACACACACACACACACACACACACACACACACACACTAAATAAATGAAATATTTACAGCAATCACTGCTAAGTCAGTGCTTAGCAGAGGGTAGGAAATTGTTAAAACCATCAAAGCCCATGAGACATAGAGGCAGCTCTCCAGCCTTCCTGGGGGGGGGAGTGCTCCCTAGTTGCCTTTCCCTCCTCCATCATGTAAATGAGTCAGGATGGCTCCTGCTAGTGATGAACCTTGATGTGGGGTCTGAAAAGGGGTGAATGCAGAGATGCAGAGATGGACAAGGGCACCTTCAAGGCATCTATAGTTTGTCACATGCGTCCTCAGATGTCTGAGGAGTTCAAAGCACTGACTGCTTCCCCAGAGGACTCAGGTTTGATTCTCAGCATCCACATGGAGGCTTGCAACCATCTGTAAGTCCAGTTTCAGGAGAACTAACGCCCTCTTCCAGCCTCTGTAGGCACCACACACACACACATAGACATATATGCAGGCAAAACACTAGTACAATACATTCCAAAAATATACTAAGTTATACAGGCTGAGGAATAATGGTAGGAAAAGAGCAAGTCTTTATTTTCTGGAATTAAACCATTATCTTTCTAGAAGAGCATAAAACTTTGTATGCACCATGAAAACATTGCAGGTCATAGCACACAGCAGTCATGCATGGGAGCCGAGGTGCCTCATGCCTTATGTGATTCGAGGCATGAATTACACAACACTCCACAGGACAGGCAAGACCTGCTAGAAACATCTTGGATTTATCATGTGTTTGATTTTGAGTTAACTTTCCACTGTTGTGTGTTTAGAAACCTTTCACTATTGCCAAAAACGCCATGATACATTCCGTTACCACATGGAGCCTTGACACATGGTTTAAGGAGCTGTGGCTTAAACCACCCAGCTTGTGGCATACTGCCATGGTAACAAAGCAGGTACAGAAGTGAACCCAGGTGACCCTGGGGCCAGTAGGAGTCTGCTTCGGTAACTGAGTTGAGGAGGAGGGAGATGTAGACAGTGACTAGCTGTCAGTGACAAAGGAGATAGGTATGTGGGATGATGTTTGCAGGGTCATGGCCGGTCCACAGATACTGATCTGCATAGCCCATGACCAAGGGGTGAGGGATCAGGTTTCTAGGGTGGCCTCTTTCTGGTTTGTAGCAAGCTGCCTTTTGCTATGTGCCTACATGGCCTTTCTTCTGTGAGCAAAGGGAAAGAAGCAGAGGCATCCTGTCAGCCTTTCCTTCCCGTACAGGGACACAAATGGGCCCTGTGGGACTCGCTCCCGTCTCTGTGACCTCTCCTTGCCTGGCACTGCCCTTATCATCTCGTGGCCATACACAATCAGATCAGAGTTAGGGCTTCCACTCCTAAATCTGGGGGCTGGGGGTGGCCATTGGGTTTCTGTGTTGGAAGTGAGACAGGCTAGCAGGTGGGATCCTTTGCTCTGCCAGTTAACTAATTAAAAGACAAGAAAATTGCTCACGGCGAAGTGAAAGGTTATTGGCCAGCATGGAGACTCACCTCTCTTCAGACTCTCTTTTTCAGTCTGCCCCTGGCCCCACAGCCTCAGAAGTGAGGCCCACAGCTTCCTTCGCCCATCCCGATGCAGGGCCTCAGAACTTGCAGAAGAAGTTGCAGCTGAGCCTACAATCTGGGACTGAGTAACTCTGAGACTCACACTTATCTTTCCTCTTCCCCACCGAGTGCTTCAGGGCCCTAGTCAATGGGCCATGGCCAAAAGTTTGTAACATCTTTTTTTTTTCTTCTATTACTATGTATTTTGTTTAATCAAATGTAATGAGGTTTGTGGAAGCAGTAAACTGAAGTTATTTTCAAGCAGGAACTGTATTTAGCGCCGTTAATTGAATCAGTCTAGTTAGTTGGAATAGAGCAGTGGCTGTTCGCCCTGGAAAGGGGAAATGGAGCTTCTCATAAAACAGCCTACTGTCCTAACACACTGTGGCACATGCACAGGCTGAGCATCCGGAGTCCTCCCTGGGTGTCGGCTCTGCCTCGCTGCAACGTGACTCAATGCAGCTCACGTCGTCCTTGGTGTCTTCAGGCCTGGCTGCCATGAAGAGACAGCAAGGGAACTCCAACTGTGGAGTGGGCTGGATGTAACACAATGCAGAGCCCCCTCCCTCCATGGTAGGCTGGTGTCCT